TGGGCGGGACACAGAAGCCCCCTCTGCCGCAATCAAGCCCGTGTCACCATCTGGACGCCATTTTAAAACCATCAGTTCTGGCTCCCCACGTAAACAAGGGCGCGACCCCAAACATGCTCCCCTCACTAAATGGGCTCTTTCTGGCAGCTGCAGAACCCCAAAATGGCCGACCTCGCGGGGTGAGGACTGGAGCCAGAATGGCTGAATCTGTTCTTCATTACTGCAGCATTTCTCACTGTGTACGAGAGACTTTATCCAAAATGTGTTAGCAGGAGGTTCACCGTTCCAGCGCATTGAGGATGGATGACTGAAGGAAAAGAGCCGTCTGGTTCAATTAAATTGGACATTTGTACCAATCTGGAGACATTTGTTTTTATACAGAACCGAGTGGCTATTTCAAAAGACATAATAAATATATTTAACAAGGTATAAATGTGGATTATAATCTCAGATTTGTATGTAATCTGAATCCGAATCGTGCTTTCATATAAAGATCAGGGCTGCAATTTAAATCATTTTAACATTAGGATTTTTGATTGATTTGACAATTTGCATAAATACTGTGAAGCGATTTCTCGAAGCCAAAGTTTTAAGCTTCTATTAACACCTGTTCTTTTATTACCTGCAGCGTAAAATGATTGATTCATTTCAGGTAAGGGCAGAAATATCAGCATTTTCATTGTCGGACGCTTTTGTTAGTTTCATAAAAAATGAATTAAAATGAGATTTAGTTCAAATCACAATAAAATAGGAAGCTGCATTTCTGAAACATACGCAGCGTCAAAATGATATTCTTGCTATAAGACTGCAACAAAACAAACCTCCTTCTAAAAAAATAAGCGTTAGCAATTGTTGCCGTTCCCCGAGCAGGTTAACTGTAATTTGCATTCAGATTAACGGAAACAAATAAGCAAACAGGGCTCATGAAAGGCAGATTATTGAGAATTATGATGTGCTTACATGGGCGCAGGACGGCGATGGAGAGAGTGTGACAGAACAGAGGGAGCGTGTCAGAGGGACGGGTGTATTCCTGTGGGGGAGAGTGTGTGTGCGTGTGTGTGAACATGTGTGTTTGAGAGCAACACAAAGGGAAACAGTTGAAGATCTGATGCAAAGTTCACACACACACACACAGTCACACACACACAGTCACACACACACACACACACACACACACACACACACACAGCTCGCAGGCACAAGTGTGGTAATGACATGGTAATCGGGCAACATTATTCTGCCCACCAGAGACTAGGAGGGCGAACAACCTGCCACAAACACACACACACTCACGCACACAAACACACACACACACACACACACCACCACGCAGGGATCAGATGAAATCTATGGGCCGACATGGGTGAGGAGGGTGAGACCAACGTGGGGGACGGGGGGGTGACGGTGAGAGAAACTTTCTCTAGTTGATTTGAGCAGTCGGCCTAAATTGAAGAAGAATAATTCTACATATTATTACACAAAAGAAGAAAAAAAGTCGAGTCAGCGGACATTGACTTCGTTAACATAAGTATTTTGTCAAGCTCGAGAATGAACTTGTGTGCTTGAAGATAAATAGCCGTTATATACTGTACATAAAAGTAAAGAACTGAAAAGCGAGCGTAGCATCAAGGAGGCGAGTTGACCGTAAATCAGTGGACTATTAATAGACCTTCCTCCATTGAATACACCACTGCCCCCGTCTGGACAAACCCCGACACGGGGGGCTGGAAGGTGGTTAACAGGGATTTATCTATTCCTGCAGAAAGAACAGAACTAGGACTAAATATCTCATTCTGACCCACTGTATTTATTGTTCCGCTAACTTTCTTATGATCGTACTCACTGAATATTGTGATATTTTTCCCAACCTACTACTTCCTAAATTACATTTTAAGTAATGCTTTGGGAAAGAGGAGGGAGGTGAAAGGAAATAATACAAAATAAACACCAACTTGAGCATGAAAGTTAATTGCGTTGCCAATAATCCACATTATTGTCCTGAGCGTTTAACAGCCCGCGGCTCAGTTTGTCATCACATCAGACGGCTTCTACCTGTTTACTGTGCAAACGCCATCACATGGGGGAGACAACAAGATGCTCGGGGGGGGGGGGGGAGCAGAAAGTGGGTGGACCCCTCCCAAGACAAACTTCTGCTGAAGGAGGTGTTAACGGCGACATCACCATTTCTTCCCCTCTCTGCTGGCCAGTGTTTCCCTCGCTGCTCCCCTCTAAGTGGCGGTGATTGACAGGCGGGCGATATCCATGCAATATCACCCAGCGCACGTTCCTATTCCCTCCTGGAGCCTTCATCCACCGGTCAAATTAACCTTCCGTGCCAACGGGAGGGGGGGCCCCGCGTGGGCCAATCAGCAGGTGATTAGGCCGGGGGCGGGAGGGGTGAGGGGTCACCGCGATGGGGCCATCGCAAGCCTGATTGGTTTCAATCAGCAGCCGGGCCGCGAGGACAGCTGGGAGCTGAGCCGCGGCGAGCGCTAATCAACGCGTCCCACAGTGAGGCATGAACAGTCACCACACACACACACACACACACACACCGACAACACGGGGCATCGCACACGTTCCAGGGACACACACGAATACACAGCGAGACGTGGGAAGCACAAATGAACAGTCGAGACCACAACAGATAAACAGAAAAAAATCCCATAATGGAAAAGCAGAGGAGAGAGAATCACTCGGAGCAACTCCAGAATCTCCCAGTAAATTGAATGACTAATTGCATTGGATTTGTTAATTTGACCGCTGGCACATCTGATACGGGCCCGTGACATTGGTTGGCCGCGCCGTGTCCTACAAACCCAAACAGCGGCTCTTCTACGAGGCCTCCGCTGTGTCTGACGCTACGCTGGATTCCTGTTCCAAAGCGCAGCGAATCACACCTCAGCGATCAGGTGACGCAAAGGTCGAGAGGAGAAGACGAAGCGTTCGGTCGGTGAGTTTCACCGACTTGTGCGACTGAGAGGAAGGTCTGCAGAGGTGTTAATATCACAGCAATAACTTTGCTTATCTTGAGATAAAGACTACAAACAGAGAAAAGGCCGACTCATCAGTTCATGGTGGACGTGTGGAGTAAAATGTTCTTGTGATTCAGCTGATGGTTAATAAACAAAAGGTTTTACGTGATGCAGGTCCTGTCTATTATGAGGAAGGACAATTACAACCATTAGTCATGATGCCATTAAATAAGTCGCCAATTTAAGACACAATTTTAATCATACGGAATTCTCATTTACTTTGTGTTACTACATGTGTTTCATTCATATAAATCAAACATGAATGATTGGAACGTTTCCTTAATATGTTCTGAACACTTTATTTTTGTGAAAGTGATACAACAACGGTTGTTTTTTAATTCAGTCTCTACTCGTCTCCACTTTGCATGTTTTTAGTTACAACTCAGCAGCAAAAGTGACACTAATATTTGTTCACACAATCAACGTCCTTCAAATAAGAGCTTATTTGAGTGTATCTGTAATCCATCCTAATTATGTATCAGCACTATTTAAGAAACAATCATATATTTTATTATAATTGTGAAAATGATCAATACAAAGCCATTGACAGGGAGGTGCTGCAAGAGATGAAGAAGATCTCAAAACCTGAACGTGGTGCCTCATAGTGACACGCGGCTCATAACAGCTGTGACCTCCTCGTTGTTTACTTGCGCTTCTGTTCCATCGGGAGGAGCTTCAACAGCTGCTGGTGCCACGTCAGAGCCGAGGAGGAGCGAGAGGAGCCGAGGAGGAGCCGAGGAGGAGCGAGAGGAGCCGAGGAGGAGCCAAGGAGGAGCGAGAAGAGCCGAGGAGGAGCGAGAGGAGCCGAGGAGGAGACGAGGAGGAGCGAGAGGAGCCGAGGAGGAGCCAAGGAGGAGCCAAGGAGGAGCGAGAAGAGCCGAGGAGGAGCGAGAGGAGACGAGGAGGAGCGAGAAGAGCCGAGGAGGAGCGAGAGGAGACGAGGAGGAGCCGAGGAGGAGCCGAGGAGGAGCCGTGGAGGAGCGAGAGGAGACGAGGAGGAGCCAAGGAGGAGCGAGAAGAGCCGAGGAGGAGCCGAGAGGAGCCGAGGAGGAGCGAGAGGAGCCGAGGAGAGAGGCGGAGGTGCGTCCTGTTCGCTGCGGCGTCTGCGCATGCGCGGAACGCAAAGAGGAAGAGGAGCGGCTTTGTATTTTACTATTTACTGCAGAAAGAAGTTTCCCCTCTCGCAGCAATACAAAAAGATACACACAACAACAACAACAACAACAACAACAACAACACGCCTGCAGGTAGGAGACATTACGCGACACACACGCAGAGGAGAACGAAATGGACCAAATAGGAAGCATGTTGTCATAGTCCGGTGGAAAACAAGTTAACGTCATTAGACAACTTTACGTCCATCGCGTGAACTCTTTAGCTTCCTGTGAATAAAAGGCCCCGTTCACCTTAAACCAGCGGACGTGTTTGGGGCCAGACGCTCTTTCGAGTGTTCAGAATAAGGAAGCGAACAGCAGACCGCTGTTTATCTCAGTCACGCTTCCGTTTTACTGTCAAGGTGCTTTAACGGAACCGTCCCAGCGCGTCGCTTTAAAGAGATAAAAGGTTTAAAAAGCGTCCTTGATACCTTGTGACGACCGGGATTCGATGTGGGTCCGAAAACCCTCAGTCGGCGTCAGCTGTCTCCTCTTCTCGCGTCGTCACGGTTCAGCGTGACAGAATCCCCGAAATCCCAGTTGAAACATTTCCGATCCCGAAGGACGGTTTTAATTATGATGTCACGGACGATCTCACGCTGTCTAAACCAACCGCACACGGCTGTGACGTAATGTGACGTAATGTGACGTTAACGGGCACCAAGTACACTCGTTTTGCTGCTGCAAGGCCGTTTAATTGCGACCTGGTATTCAGTACGTTGTTTCACACGTCCGCTTTTCATCAAAACGTGACGTCATTATCTTCGGTGATTGAAGACGTCTGTGACTTGTTTTTTTTCTCTCACTTTAGAGACTTGACTTTAATCCATTGATTAATCCGTTGGGGATCAATTGAGGACATAAATGCAGCCCTTTGCTGTTCGGTGTTACAGGTTGTGACGCTGCTTCCCATGGACGAGGTGTGCGTGTTAATCAGCGAAATCACTGAAATAACATCACTGCTCAAATATTAGCTATTTTCTTTCTGCCGTTGTTCTGATCGGACCAAACGAGCCATTTTTGAAGACCTCGTTTGTTTGTTTGTTTTTTTCAATGAATGCAACCGTCTCTCTGCAGACGAACTGCTGGTTCCTCTGCGCGATGTCGTCCCTGTGGTGGGACCAGTGGCCCTTACTGGCCACAAACGGGTCCGACCTCCCAGACAACAGCAGCTGCTTCAGCTCCACCAGGAGCACCGTCCTCAAGGGAATCCCCTTCGGAGGAATCCCAGTGGTGCTGATGCTCGATTTCTGTGTCTTTTTGGTACGTCTCAAAATGCACCATGTGGGCGTGAGGCCTGGACGTAGTTTTCCTTTATGCAATATTAAGAAGTACGTTAACCAGTAACTTCTTTCCCCACATCCACTGGCGTGTCTGTGTTGTTTCGTGGCCTCAGCTGGCAGCTTATTGGTTCTCCTCCTGATGCCACCTGCAGGTGCTGCTGGTTGTCTTCTCCGTCATCAGGAGGAAGTTTTGGGACTACGGGCGTCTGGCATTGGTGGCAGACAACGTGGGGTCAGTTCGTGATGTCACACGCGCCCCGCGTGGCGTTTGCACGGTTCTGTATTCGTCAGACTGATTCCTTCTTTGTGCGTCAGGTTCACCGAGTCAACACACCGTCGCTACGGGCGCATGTCGTCCAGCGTGGACGACGTGGAGAACGAATTGGTATGTAAATAAAATCTTTGTCATCATATAATCTCATTATATCTACACTCAATTCTCAAATATCACAGCACTTTTTCCATTCTTTCATTCATTCAATCATATAAAATCACATATTTACATACAACCACATAACCCGTATTACTGTGCACCTCATTGAATGTTGATAATCAAAGTATCCGCCCGTGTCTCTGTTCAGGGATTCTGCTCCTGGCTGCCTTTCATCGTCCGAATGGAGTGAGTGAGCTTCGCTGGTCATTGTTTGTGCACCTGCTGCTGTTACCACCCAGTGTTTTATCAGTGTGTGTGTGTGTGTGTGTGTGCGTGCGTGTGTTTCAGTGAGGCGAAGATTAAAGCCAGATGTGGCATGGATGCTGTTCACTACCTGTCCTTCCAGCGGCATCTGATCGTCCTGCTGTCGGTCATAACTGTCACCTCCCTCGCCGTCATCCTGCCCGTCAACTTGTCTGGAGACCTGCTGGGTGCGTCCATGTCTGTTTGTAGTTTGCGGACTTGCGTTAAGGGGGAATTTCATGCACAGAAGGGCTCCGCTGTGTGCGTTTTAATGCTTCTCAGTGTGAGCGGCGCTGACCTCTTGGTTATCAGCGGCTCGTGTTTATCACCGCAGATTGTGGCCACTTGTTTCTGTCCAGAAGGAAGAAGGTTGTTTTTACTCTGATCTCTTTCTCTTCATTGTTCTCTTCGTTTTCTCTTGTCCAGATAATAATCCACAGAGTTTCGGAAGGACAACCATTGGGAATCTTCAAAACGGGTAAAAACTGGATGTTAAAAGCCGCCACATGAGCAACGACAGTCTTGTGCGTCGCTGGAGACAAAATGCTTCTTGGTTTCTGTCGTCAGAAACGACCTGTTGTGGCTGCACACGGTGTTTGCGGCTCTGCACCTGATCCTCACGCTCGTTCTGCTGCGACGTCACACCTCACAGATGAAAGGCATCCGCAGAGAGACGGTATTTGCCCCCCCGAGGAGCTGCGTGTGTAATCAAAGTGTGATCAGTGTGCAAAGCAGATTAAGCGAGCGATGTTTCTCTCTGCTTGCAGACCAGAAACACGCTGTTTGTGTGTTCGGTCCCCAAAGCGGCCACAGAGGAAGCTGTAAAAACCCATTTCTCGTGAGTAGTATTGAAATAAAGCGCGATGCTCCTCCCGGACGCCGTGTCCCTGAATGGCGGCCATCTGCCCCCGTCCTCTTGTGTGCAGGGAGGCGTACCCGTCCTGCAAAGTGTGCGCTGTGACGCTGGGCTACGACGTGGCCAAGCTCATGCACCTCGATAAGGAACGGTAAGACGTCAGAGCGACAAGCGGCCGAGCGCGTCTTTCTTTGTCTTTCTATGTCCACCGAAACACCTTTTAAACATCTTGACGCTCGGAATTTTAGTTTTATACAAATAACATACTCTTCAATATTGTACAGCAATCCGCAGCAGGTGAAGGTGGACGCCGAGGTGCTTAAAGCGCTGACGGATATTTACTCCTTCTTCATATTTACCAAGTTAAACCAACTGGAGCGTGTTTGCTTATCGGTTTACTCCCCGTCACCCCCCCAGGATGCGAGCAGGAAAGAACCTGTGCTACTACGAGCAGGCCCTGAGGAAGACCGGCAAACGGGAAGCCTTCATCCCCCGCTTGTGTGGTCAACTCTGCTGCTGCTGCTGCTGCTGCAAACCCGAGGAGGTGAAGTCAGAGCAAACACAGCGTTCCAGACTGTTTTGACTCTTCCAGTGACCCCCCCCCCCCCCCCCCGGGGAGGGATCTGAAGGGGGGGGTCCCCCCCGGGTGATGCCCTCCAGTACTACAGCACTAAAGAGAAGAGCTGCTGGAGCAGGTGAGGGAGCAGACGGAGCTGGTGCCCCAGCGGCCCCTGGGCATGGCCTTCGTCACCCTGCAGACCGAGGCCATGGCCAAGTAGTGAGTCTTTTTCCCTCTGCACCTGCGCCGGGGAGGTAAACGGCAGGAAGTACCCGACACGAGACGCATGCCGGTCCAGCGGCGAGGCGAACCGGTTTTTGCCTCCGGATGTTTGCCGCGATGTTCTCAGGTCGTCCGTCTGGTTTATTGATTAATTAAGGCGGCTTCAGACCGAAATCCAACTGGCCGAAGGAGGCGTTTGACCTTGACCAGTTGGTTCACAGTCGTTTGGTTGCTGCAGTTTGCACTTTCTGTCTGGACTGTGTTTGTTAGTAACAGGGACGAGACGTGATATGGTGTTTTCTGCAGCTGACTGCTGGTTTTAATGTGGCCACATTACTTTTTACTGGAAGCGGGCCGCCGGTTAACAGCTGCCGTTTGCTCACCTCAGCATTCTGAAAGACTTCAACGCACTCGAGTGCGGCGGCTCAAGCTGCTGCTGCGGGAGACCTCCGCAGCCGTCGCAGGAGAGCGACGCTCTGAAAGTGAGCAAGTGGAGCGTCAGCTTCGCACCCCACCCGAAAAACGTGTATTGGTAAGGCCTGAAACGCCGCCCCCGAACATGCAGATGGTACAACTCGATATTTCTAGCGCCATTTAAGCGCCATTAACAAGCTTTTAGCAGCATGTTTTCTCCACGTTGTGCAGCCGTTTGGTGTTTTTCTCCCTGCAGGGCCAATCTGTCAGTGGGAGGCTTCACCTGGTTCATGCGCTACCTGATGCTCAACTTCTTCCTCTTCTTCCTGCTGACCTTCCTCACCACTCCGTCCATCATCATCAGCACCATGGACAGGTTCAACGTGACGATGCCGATCAACTATCTCAACGTGAGACTTTCGCTCGCGGACACCGAACGTCGCAGCAATTACTTAAAAAAAAAGGAAATTTCCTGATTTATTTGTTTTTCCCCCCCCCAGAGCCCCATCGTCAGCCAGTTCTTCCCCACCCTGCTGCTGTGGTCCTTCTCTGCGCTGCTGCCGACCATAGTTTACTATTCCACCATTGGAGAGGCCCACTGGAGCAGGTGGTGCCCACAAACAGACACACGTGCAAGTGATCGGGTCCCGTCGGTGGGAGAATTGTTGTGAGATGGTTCCCATGTGTCCACAGGTCCAGTGAGCAGCTCAGCATGCTGCGTAAACTCTACTTCTTCCTGCTGTTCATGGTGCTGATCCTCCCCTCGCTGGGACTCACCAGGTGAACAAGTCACACTTCTAGTTGTCGCTTGCTGTGACGATCAGGTGTCGGATATAGTGATGGATATGTGATGGATATGTGATGGATATGGTGGTAGATATGGTGATGGATATGTGATGGATATGGGGGTACAAACGGTGAGGAAAAAGCGGACCACTACCGACGACCACCTCACCACCAGCTGGTAATCCCGCACCGACATGCACAAAAATGCCATGCTCCGTGACGCAATCGAAAGGACATCCGACCCCACCTGCGGATATACGAGGATATGTGATGGATATGTGATGGATATGTGATGGATATGTGATGGATATGGTGATGGATATGTGATGGATATGTGATGGATATGGTGGTAGATATGGTGATGGATATGTGATGGATATGTGATGGATATGTGATGGATATGTGATGGATATGTGATGGATATGGTGATGGATATGTGATGGATATGTGATGGATATGGTGGTAGATATGGTGATGGATATGTGATAGATATGGTGATGGATATGTGATGGATATGGTGATGGATATGTGATGGATATGTGATGGATATGTGATGGATATGGTGGTAGATATGGTGATGGATATGTGATAGATATGGTGATGGATATGTGATGGATATGGTGATGGATATGTGATGGATATGTGATGGATATGGTGGTAGATTTATTAATAACGGATACAATTTGTTGTAATTGGATTCAGGAAGAACCGTGATTCTCTTTCTCCATTTTTCTTCCTCTCGTTAGTCTTGCAGTGTTTTTCCGCTGGCTGTTTGATAAAGAGTTTCTCTCAGGTGGGAAACTGAAGTTTGAGTAAGTAATCCCTTTTTTGCCATTTTTCTTTTAATTAATTAATTAATTTTTCCTTATTAATTTGAATTTTACGTCTTTTGTTGTTGTCACGTTGATAAATTAATAATAAAGGGAAGAAAAATCAGTTTTACTCTCAACTTGTTTCATGCAGTTTGCGTTTAATTTATTCACCCCATTATTTATTAAGTTGTGCTATTGTTGCATTAAATATGAAACTAGATCATAAGACATTACGATGTCTTCTTTAGATTGCTTATATGAGTTTTCATAGTCTGCTGAAACTGACGTGGTCATAAAAATACATGAGCAATTTCTATTTTACTTTCTAATATTGTTTAATCGTATTTTCATTGAGTGTTTTTTGTGTCCGCCTTCCACCCAGGTGCGTGTTCTTACCTGACCAGGGAGCGTTTTTCGTCAACTACGTGATCACAGCGGCGCTGGTGGGCTCTGGGATGGAGCTGCTACGGTTGCCTGGGTTACTGCTTTACACCATCCGGATGGCGTTCGCCCGCTCGGCCGCTGAAAGGAAATATGTGAAACAGGTGTGTTTTCGTTTTTCTTTTTCTAAAAATGTCTCTCTATGCTTTGGTACTATGAGCAGCATCTTTTCTCTTCTTACAGCCTCAACGACTTACATGTGGACTAATCGTCTGACTTGTGTTCACAGAATCAGGCCTATGAGTTTGAATACGGCGCCATGTACGGCTGGTCCCTCTGCGTCTTCTCCGTCATCATGGCCTACAGCATCATCTGTCCTGTCATTGTGCCGTTCGGTGAGGCCGCGCACAATCCATCCACTTTCATCGCTTCTTACATATAAAGTATCAAATGAATTTTATTTCATTTTAGACGTTTTCTTTAAATAATAAATCGGTCCATCAAGTAGCTGGCGTTTCATGGGTGGATCCGTTCGGCCTTTGACCTCCTGGTGTGTCTCTTATCAGGTCTCCTGTACATGATGCTGAAGCACCTGGTGGACAAACACAACCTGTACTTTGCCTACCTGCCTGCTCGCATCGACCGCCAGGTGCACCTGGGAGCTGTCAATCAGGCTGTGGGCGCGCCCATCATCTGCCTCATATGGCTCTACTTCTTCTCTGTCCTCCGCGCAGGTAGGAAACCAGTGTGTGGTCACGTGACCTGAGCTTCACAAAGAGGACGCTTTGGCCCTGCAGACAGAACGTAACTGACACGCCGCCGCGTTTCAGGGTTCTGGACCGCCACGTCTCTCTTCACGCTGGTGGTCCTGTGTGTGACCGTCTTCATCTGCCTCGGCTACACCTGCTTTGGCCACTTCAAGTACCTCAGTCCGCACAACTACGCGGTGAGCGTTTGGGGGTTTTTTTTTTCGCTCCGCAGCCGCCACCTCTCCGCCGCCGCTCCCGCCGAGCGTTCAACTCGACTGTGTTCTCTGTTGGCAGGTGAAGGAGGAGGACGAGGACGAGGCGGAGGGAGTGGAAGAAAACGCCATGGTACTGCACTTGTTCCAATACAAAGTCCACAGTGTGAACACGAGGATCGGAAGTATTTAGGGCGAGTTAACTCACCTGAGCTTTGCTGTAAATTCCATAACCCGATTTGTCGCCCTTGTGGTTTGTTATTCATTAACAAAGTAAAACAGCAGAGCATTTGAGGTCAATGTTTCCGAACAATACGCCTGATCGTTCACAACGAACGCACTCGTGGACCGTAGTTCGGATCCGTCCTTATTTTCTTACACTGTTTGGTGTGTAAATCACTCTTCCGTGTGGTGCAGTTACAGGTCTACCTGCCCCGAGTGCTCAACCCCAAATCACCTGCCAGCGCGCAACAGGGTTCTGAACCTCTGCAGGGTTACGGCTCCACGGAGGTCAGCCCGGCCCACAGCCCGGTCCGGAGCCCGACCCGCTGCTCCGACCCGGTGACGGACAGCGAGCCGGACGGCTGAGTCAGCGCTCAGCGTTTTTTTTTCTTCTTTTTTTCCCTTTTAATGACGAGTCCAGGTTCTGAAGTCGCGACGCCACAAAACTTCTGACCGCAAGTCTCCTTCATGCAAGAACCGGTCCGCTCCCACGGGGCCGGTACCAGTGAGCCGGGAGAACTTGCCGTCTTTACAAATTGAATTTTTCTCTTTGGCATGAACACATTTAATCTGCCGTCATCAACAACTGCTGTAAGTATTTGTCATTCCACTAATTTGAAGCAACTTCACATTTATTATCCTGTTTGAAATATAAACCAATAGGATTCTAGATGCGTAAATTCGTCCAAACGACATCAGCAATAATTGATTGATTAATTGTCTGTCGATATCGACAGACGATATCAAAAATAACATTTCAAAAAGCAAAAGGCCGTTCTTGCCTAATTCTTCTGGATTGATACGAGTTAAATATCAATCGCCTCTCACAGGAATGACGGGAAATAGGAATAGGAATTTATTTAATATTCTGATCACTTTTTGCACGTGTTAAGCATATTACACACATCCTGAATCTGAAATGCATCTTTTATTTTCTGTCTATGTCTCTCGCCAATTCTCCAAGGGTTCTTTTTGCATGAAACTCGCCATTTCAAACAAGCCAAAATGTTGGATTCCAACACTTGGAATCTATTATTTGCACATGCTGAAGCTTATTATGCAAGTTGCACCAACAACCAACACTGACGCCAAAGAGGCCTGCAGAGCTTTCTGTTCTAGTCTAGATTTCTTCACCGGGCCTTTTTGTGACGCTTTTAGAGGACGAAACCTGCCATGGGAATAATCAACATTGCCTTATGTTCATTATGCACTTTCTATATCAAGAGAGGCCTGTTTTGTGTCTGCTAACTCGATCAGTATTGCTTGAATTATGCAACCAAAACCTTTTGTTAAGAGACACAATTTTATAATATTGTTTAAGATGAGACAATGTTTCAACAATGAATGAATGTCTGAAACAGGTCAATGTTTATTTCTATTCGATGTTACGTTTTTGGAGCTTTTTTTAAATGGAACTAGATTTTAAACATCAACTTGTATCTGTACAGTGCTGGACAATGTCTTCAGATGTGGTATGTTAAGCTTTGTACACGGTCATCTAAATGTTTAAACCGTGCAGCTTTCCAACGCAAACAAGAACAACTTCGCGGTCATGAGCGCGTCTCGCCAGCTGGAGGCGCCGTGGAGCTGCAGTCGGGTTGTAAAACCAGAGAAGGGGGAAAAGGACAAATGCACAGTGTCATTGAGGACTTGTAACTCATTCTGACTTTGGTTCGAGGCCGTTTCCTCCGCCTCCTCACCTGATCCTTCACCATTGTCTCGCTTGTCGTTTGCTTCCTCTTTGCTTTGCCCTTTTCCCCTTTCTCACCACCTAACTGCCCCAGCTGATCACAACCTCTATTGTACTTGTACGGCCTTTGAGAGTTCTGTTGTGACTACTTGTTAAAAAGGGGTAATGAAGTGCTAAGCTAACATATGCAGGTTATTAGCGGTGTGAACCGTTGGATGAGGATCAGGACGCCGATGGAGCTTAACAACAGTTCTCGAAAATAAAGATCAGGAACTGTTGAAAGACTCATTTTTATTGTTTAACAGTCACATTTTTCTCTTTAGTTTTTGTTATTCTACATAAAAGTCCCAATGTGCCTCTTGAGCTGCTGCTAATGAGACGTTGAGTCGCTGGACACATAGAAAGTCTCTCATTTCAACCTTTTCCATATTGATTAACATTTCTATAACATCTGTATGAACAGAGTTTATTGGCCGCGCGTTTCCCTCTGATGTCGGACAAAGATGAAGCATTGCAAAACAGAACGTCTCAACTATTTCATGTTGCTGCGTGTGTGAGATTAAGCAACAAAAATATTGCCCTCCGTGCCGAATGATCTCCAGCGTGTCGAAAGAAATAAATCCCACAATTTATCCTGTTGTTTTTTTGATGAAAACCAAATAACCACAATAAACGCGCACCGCGTGAGACTTGGACAGGAAGCTGCGCGGGGTCGGGATGCGGGGCCACTAATAACTTACAGACATCCTCATGTGGCCCCCGAGGACGAGCCGGGCGCATGAAGCCCGATACCTGATCCAGCGTCTACGGGTTGTGTGTGTGAAGTGTGTGTCTGATGCACCTGCTGTTACACAATGTGTACGTTAAGGCTGCAGGAGCCTGGGAAGCAGCTCTGTTCAGACCCCCCCCCAAAGAAAACCCAAACTGTGACCCACAGTTAAACACGCCACAAACCATCTGGCTCTGCTTTCGGGGAGAGGAACGTGGTTCTGATCGGTTTGATCCGACGACACGCAAACTGGGAGCGGTTTGTAGCGTCCGCAGCCAGATGTTCTCACAGACACGATGCTGAACCCATCATGTACACGGACCCACTGATAAGAAACCGCCCAACAAATCCCACAGTTTGTTGGATATTTAGAGAGATGATTAGGAAGGGGAACCGTATTCTCGCTGACAGCTGCCCGTCACTCTGTCAGCGTGAAGCTGCAGCTGTAAACGGATTGTTCAGATTGTGTTTGTGCTCCGCTAATCGTCAGTGGAGCTTCGGATTTAGTGGCGACGCGAGAACAGAAGGAAAAGGTTCTCAGCAAATAATAATGTCTGACTTTTCCTTCACAGAATCGGGACCAAACACCGTAATTAGAAAAGTTCACTTTTGAAAAAAAGGGAAGAATATTAATGACACACTGAGTAGCTGAGTTACTTTAAACACCACCTAAAAACCTGTTGATGACAATTATTGGCTCCCGATTGGTTTCTCAGCAGTAATTTGACCTGTAAGGTACCACAAGTTTACACAACACAACCACTGGATGAAAACATTCATCCCGCCTTAATCTAAAAGCTCTTGTATGAAGGTGTGCGGCTCACTGAACTTCGTGGCCTCTCAGTGCATTCTTGGTATTGTTGTCGTCTGTTCTTTTGTACAACCACAGACACCATTATTAAATCAGTCTCTCAGCATTCACTTAATTCTGCACTCCCAGGCCACCGAGTGTGTGTGTGTGTGTGTGTGTGTGTGTGTGTGTGTGTGTGTGCGTGTCTGTGTGCGTGCGTATTAAATAGGAATAAACCCCATTTGGAGTTCGGAGGTTTTGAGGTCAGGTTTCCTTCATGTCACCACCAAGATCGATGGATGTGACCTCTGACTGCCCCAACTCGTATATAAACATGGCACCGGCCAATGGCGGCATCGCGTGGGCCGGCGCCGGCCAATGGGAGCCTCTGGCAGCATCGCGCTCTGCGGCACTCCCATCTTTTGTCCGTCAGGATTAGTGCCGTGGCAACGCCGGTCGCCTGGGAGGTGAGTTTCCCAGAGCGGCGGGACCGGGACAGAAACAGGACCGGAGTCTTACCTCCCTCCCGTCCAATTGGGAAACAGGGCCGGAGTTGTGTGTGTGTGTGTGTGTGTGTGTGTGTGTGTTGAGTCACTCTGTGGCCTCCACCTACACTGCCAACTCTAACGGGGCGACGTCCTGAGCCACAAGCTCAACGTGTGTCTGTCTGCGCGGGCGAGTGGACGGGCTGCTGAGGGGCCGTCCTTGTGCGTTCTCTTCTGTGTGGGGCACCCGGTAAAATAAAAAAGATGGAAAAAAAGTCACCCCACTCTCCCCCCTTCCTTCCCCCCTTTCTTCCTTCCTTCCTTTTTTTGGTCGGTGCACTGCGTTGGCCAGAGGGGCAGAGCGCCAGACAGCTGAACCCACGGCGGCTGATGGAGCACGTGACTCCGGACCGAGGCCCTTTTGTTTGGACAACTACAGGCGACACACGGAGGCCTGGAGGTGCAGCGTGGGATGGGAATCAATGGGCGTTAGGAATTATCAAAAAGCTGCTTGGGTTCTTTAGAGAAACGGCCTGCGACGGGTTCTTTGAACCCTCAAGATTCCCTCATGAAATCAAACCTCATCTTTTAGATGTTTTATTTATTTTTTCATGCAAAAGCCATTCTGTGTATTTTTTTTTATTCTGACCTCTTTAGACAACGGTTTTCTTTGTTCCCGTGCTGGATCCAGATCGCCTTCCCACGGCCAACTGATTCACAACAAACAAAGCCGGCTTCACATGGAATTGGCTGGTTTCACACAACAGTAAGAAATCTAGGATTTGCAGCCCTGATGCAGGATTAGGCGAGTGGGCCGCAGGCAATGAGGCGGATATCGCTGAGGTTAAATTACAAACGCAGCGCTGGATTACGCACACGCCTCATTTCCTGCGACTCCTTCGTGTGTGTAAAGACACATCCCGCCGCTTCAGATGAAAACTGCTTCCTCTATACATGAGTGATGTGACAGGAATAACAGGCCAAATACAAATAGTTCAGTAATCAACAACATGGATCGATTTCATCGACATCTTTAAAGTTTTAACTTTGTTTAGTGAGGACAAAAGGATCAGAATTGAGCGAGAACACGGCCCTGATTGTAATTGTTGTTTCTGTCACATCCAAGTAACAAACTCAGAAACGAAAGAAGCCAAGATCATCGAGCAAGGTGACGGACGAAAGCAGGATCACCAGCCACAATGAGGGCGAACCCGGCCGTCTGTACAGAATCATCTGTTGGGCAGAAGCCAGTCGTGTTTCCCGAGGGTCCAGTAACTTAAGGCGGCTCCACACTGGGTCTACTGGTCGGGACTGTTGGATGTGAGCCAAAGCAAACAACCGCCTTTCTTTTAAACAGGGTTTGCTCCACATATGCTGCATTGCATTGCTGCAGACACACAGCTGTGTGTCTGCAGAGCTGCAGGAGGATCAAACGGGAAGGTTCCATTTAAAGTGACGTTTAGCATTCTGTAGTGCCCCGTAGGTTGTGTGTCTGCGCTTGTTTCATGAGACATTTGACTTATCGCAGTAGGACGGTAATTTACCTGTTTTCATAATTTAACTGGTGTCTATATAACTTTATAATAGGAGATAAGAAATTGAGGCAACAAATGAGAAATGAATGAGGAGCCAATTGATAGTTAATGATTTAATCCTAATCCCCTTTTATGGAGTGATTACTTTTATTAATAAGGACGACTTGATAATGGATGACTCGTTGAATGGATATTAGCTCCTGCTGGGGGGGCAAATGAAGGGTAATTATGATTTATTGGAGAACAGACTGGGAGATCCTAATATAAATGAATCATTAATCAAGCTAATTAATAGTTTTGGGAGACTGCAGAGATGAGATATTGTGTTATTGTGATTTATCATAAAAGCGACACGTGTTTTTCCCCCTAAAGGAACTTTGTTTACACCGGAGCCGCGCGTTGTCACCGTTACGCGTTTGTTCTTTCCGGTGCAGACTGAATAGACACGTGACTCGGACTCGCTCGCACGCATGCGCTAGAAAAGGGGCGTGACGTCATACCAGACTCCCGCGCGCTCTGCTTCGTATAAACACGACCGGAAATCACACGTCAAACATCTTCGTTTCGTTGCTGTTTTAGATGTGATATTTACACGCTTGGGGAAAGAAAAAAAAAAAAAAGATTAAGGAAATAAATAAATACAAACAGCCCGCGCGTTGCCATGGCAACCGGCGTTTGTTGTCATTAGAAACCACCGCCCGCGTGCGGACCTGAAGGCTTCGGTTAGCTCAAACACACCGGACATCGTTAAGATCTACTAATATTAATACAACAGAAGGCCCACGATGGACTGCAGCTCGTCGTGCTGCTCTCTGGACCTGGTGGCCGGTAACGGGTGCACGCTGAGCGTGGAGCACAGAGCCGCCCTGCAGACCTCCATGGTGCTGCTGAAGAAGAACTACAAGTTCCAGCGAGTTCTGCTCTGGGGCAAAATATTCGGATTGAATAGGGACTATTTCATCGCCCAGGGCAGAGGAGAAGATGAGATGCTGGATAAAAAGAATCTCTACAGGTGATGGTACAGCCGCCTCGGTGAACCTGTTCCTGTGCACACCGTGAAATGACCCGTTTGTCTCCACACGCAGCTTCAACTGCATGGACTGGTTCCTGCTCCCCAGCGCCACCGACTCCATGGTCGAAGACGCGGCCATAGCTGCGAAGAGACGCTTCATCGGAGACCCGTCCTTCGTGTACGAGCGCCTGGAGATGAGCGAAGGACAGGGTGGTGCCGCGGAGGGTGAAGTAGGTGTTAGTGGGATCGACACCGTGCAGTAAAAAGTGTTTACAATATGCAGTGCTCCTTAAATGATCCACGTGGGTCGATTGTGATAAATAACAATAAATCCATCACTCAATTGAGCAAGAAACGAGAAAAGACACGTGAAGGAAATGTTTATGGCGTCAAAGCTCTCTGCAGGGACTGTTGTTGGTTTCAGGCCACAGTCAGCGAGGAGCGCCGGCTCGCGGCCACGGTGCATCAGATCGACGAGGACGCGTCCGTGGTGCCGCGCGGCGCCTTCGTCAAGAGTCCACGCGGCCTCGTCCACGTCAACCGCAGCTTCGCTGGTAAATACACATCAGCCTGTGTGAACGTGAAGAACCTTTCATGAGGGGTTAATGGACAATTAGCCCCAACGTGCATGTGTTGTTTTCTAGGTTTGTCTCACTCAGAAGCAAAGAAGCTCGACAGCTTCCGTCACTTTAGAAAAGCGAAGAATCCGAATAAGAAAAGCATCGAGGAAATGGGGGATTTGAGTCCAGCTATCGACTTCCTGGATACGCTGAGTGACGACATCCCTGAAGGTGAAACCGCGAGAAACCCCGAGTCGCGTCACCACACTAGAACTAGAGAACATCGTCTCATCTGAATCCGTCATCGCACACTGTGTGTTCCGCTGACTACGAGATGAGGCGTGATCGCTCTGCTGATTCAACCGACTGAAGTGTTCCTGCGAAGTGAAAAGGGAGTCACTTAAACAAGATTAAATAGGCAGACATATACCTGCCGTGATGGAATATGTCTGCTGGGAACATGTGGGGAGAACTGGTGCGTGGAGCGGTGTGACGACCACGTGACTGGTGCTGGGTGAGGAATGTCTGGGCTTCTGGATCTGGTTTCATGGCCAACTATGGTCAATTTCTTCACCAGAAAATTACAGATAATCATTGTGTCATTTTAAAACCAGACCCTGAAACCAAAAACCTGGGAGGAGGACCACCTGAAAGCAAACTGAAGTCCAATGATTAATGGGACTTACAAAACAACTCAAGTAATGTTACAGATGACAAATTACAACCTAAAAATTAAATTCCAAAATAAAAGATGAGTGACTCATAGCAGACCAGATTTCCGTAACTTTTGGAGTGGAGTTAAAAGCAGAAAACAAACTTTCTGGTTTGTCTATTTAAATGCTGAGGGGAAGCTGCGATATTACTGTAATAAACTACATCGTTTGCTGGCAAACAACAAGCAAACGGTGAAAATGATGTGGAATTATGTCCCGCTAACAAGTTAGCGTCCTCCACTCAGATGCAAGCGTGTGCGCTCAGCGGCCACGGCCACTAACGTGTAACAGCTGCGTGATGTATCGGGGGGCTTTCACGTGTGTGTAAACACGCTCGCGTGTGTTCCGTGAGTCAGTGCGGATGCCGGCGGTGTCGTCGCGGCGGCAGACATTACGCAGCTGTCTGACCCCACCGGACCGCATGCGCTCACCGAGAGGGAGCCCAACGTTGTGCGGTACGATGAATCGGAACTAATAGACAGGTGCCAACAAAGGGCTTTTTAAATGTACTTTATTAAATAGTAGCAACTCTCGTTCTCAGTTGCCTGGTCATGGTCACACCCAAACATACAAAGCAACAGGTTTGACTGTAAATATCAAAGCACAAAAGATGGATTTAGTGGATTATTATCTCCTCTATAGAGGTTAATCATCTTGGGCAGATTTCTAAAGATTTACTGGCCTTTATTTAAATTCCATTCATCCAACATGACGTGGCAGCCTCCTCCTCCTCCTCCTCCTTTTAACAGCGATTGTTTACAGCAGACCTGCTTTGTGTATGTGTGTGTGTGTGTGTGTGTGTGTAGGATCATGGAGTCTTCAGCGGGAATGCGCCGGTAACGTGTGCGTGCTGCGCAGCCTGCTGTGGCTCGGACTGACCTTCTACCATCTGCCGATGACGCCGCAGCACGGATACATCTACATCGGCGATGGGACCAAGAACCTGAACCTTCCCTTCATGCTGTGAAAAGGAAACATTTACGCATACGCATTTCTGTTCAGATGAAGCCTCGTAATTAAATCTACGTTCACATTTTCCAGGACTTTGTTTGTCTCGTGTTAAAACAAATAAACTCAAGTGAGTACAAAGTGCAGTTTGTCCACCAGCTCTGATGTAAAAGAAAAGCTATTCCTTTACAGTAAGCACATGTTGAGAGGCAGAGTAAGCAGAACCGCTTTTATTTGCACATCTGCGTTGCCTTGAGTATACACAGTCAATATACCACCTACTTTGAAACTGTCACACTGACCCAGTTGTTGCTCACATTGGCTTGTCACAAAGTTCACTTCAAGGGCTTTTTGAAAACCAGCAGAGACAGAAAAGACGGTCCGAGGGTCACGCAGAGTTTGCTTCATTAAAAGGGTGACGCAGCTCGATAAACAAAAGGTAGAATAAATACAGACGGGTGAAGCTTTTAGGCCCTTTCTCACGGAGATATCACAAGCGTCTCCGCAGAACACGGGCCCACCCACTCTGACCCAGCCGCTGGTCCACCGGGCCTTCGGTCCTTTAGTGCCTTATGTTGAGGTGCTTGACACCGTAACGCACATTGTCCTGGAGAAGCCGGTTGCCAACCACCATGCGCTTCTTACACCACTTCAGTCCACTTCTATATATGGGTTTGGCCGTGTCAATGGACCAGCGAGTGAGGTATCTGTACAACACAAGATCGTTGCTGGTTTCAGTTGCACTGACGCTGGATAGAAAACACACACACACACACACACATGTATACATTACCTATTGAGCTGTGGCTTGGGCCTCCTTGGGACGTGGTCCTCTGGAAGTTTGGGTTTGTGGTCCGGAAGCAGACCTTCAAGGGAGAGAAAACACCATTTTAGGTCATCGAATCCATTATTAGCGAGGTCCAAAAAAGGTACAACAGATACAGAGTTTTGTGGCGACCATTGATGTATTAGATACACACGATACAACCAGGAACTAGAAACTTCTCCCAGTTTGGGTTTTAAATGTCTTTGAGATCAACATTGCTGAAACTATTTGTCGACTAATCAATCAAAAGAATGAATTTATCAGGCAAAACTGCAAAAAAACATTTTACTCTGCATCACGACAGACAGACAAAATGTTATTTTGGTCGTTTGGGTCAATGAATATGTTTCCTCTGAGATGGTGCAACCTTTCCCCATCTTAAGAGCATCAGATTCAATGCAATACTAAACTGTGTTTGGAATATGCATCTGACATCTTGCGGATTACGAAACGAAAAGATTATGAATAAAAGAGTCTTTTGAATCAGACAAAGATTCCGCTCCGCACAGGACCAGGCGGCGACACTGACCTGCTCGCTGAGCCATCTGAACGCAGACGGCGATCTTGCGATGCTCCTCTGGGCAGAGACCAGTGATTCTCTTTGACAGCATCCCTCCGTCTGACCTGATGAACTGACTCAGCAACAGGACGTCCTGCAGCGTTTTGAAGCAAAAAAGACGAGGAAGCAAACCAGACACAATAAACCGCTGACACGCATTTTGTGTAGGATGTCTGCGATTACTTTCCTTGTGACCCAGTAGACGGACTTACGGTGTAGTTGTATTTGTGCTGCAGATTCCATCTGTAGATGGGACACTTGGCTGCAGGGTTTGGGGGCTCGGGTGCTGCTGGAACGTCCGCTATTTGTCCCTCAATCTGACAGATGGTGATCAAATAGGTTTCTCGTCAGGTCAACTGGATATTAATGCAGCAAGAGAGTAAACGATGCTTTTCTTTTTTTAACGTGGACTCGCACTAGCTTATGTGTGCTAATGTCCTTTGGAAGACTAAATGCCTGCATGCTCTGATGTAATGAGCCGGCACACAAACATGTTTTATTTTGTGAACGTACGTGTGAGACAAAAAGAGAGTGAGCAAATCTAGTGTCTTTTTTCTGAGCGCTGCAGCAGATTTAAGGTAAATATTTAACAATAAAAAACAAAGCAAAAAGGGGTTTGAGTCGTTCATAATCCGAATTCACTAAAATGACAACAATAACAACACGTTTTCAGTTGCAGATTAGTCTGGATTTACTTACCGTTGTTGTTTTGCCCTCCTGCTTCTCCACCACTGCAAACAAACATTTTATGATGACAGATGTTTGATCATATATTTAAATACAAAAACAACTAATGTCACAGTGCTGCCGGGTCGGAATGTGGTTACATGTGTGTGATGGTTATGCTGATACACTTAAACCAGCTTCTGCTGGTGTGGTTTTCTTATTCTCTGTATTGTTCTGGTGCTACGGGGAGTTTTACACGCGGCCTCTAGTCGCTGTCAGTGTCTTCACGTTAGCATGCTAGCTAACATTAGCGCTTCTTACATCGGCGGGCTAACTTCTTCACTCCTACATATAAATCGTACCTTGGCGGATGCCTCGACTCTGGATGGTTACAGCCGATAGTTGTGGAATATTCATCCCGTGCTGGACCTTCGTGTTCACTAATTTCAAAGTGGAAAATGAGGTCCATACAGACCTCAGCACACTGCGCGCTGCCATGTTTACGTCCCGACCTTCGCCGTCGTCTCTTCCGGTCTGGTGAAATCTCGCGAGAATAGAAAGAGGACGATTCCAACAGAAAGCAGGTTTGATAAAGTAAATAGATAGACCTAAATTGCGCCCAGGTAGGTGTATTACACGTAATTGTGATTTTTTTAAAGGTACACAGGATATTACATTTCAATTACAGATACATAACAATAATCGTTAATCAAAACTTTGCCTCCAAGGACAAGAAGACATCTCGCAAACCAAGATCTAGCCCAAATAATTAATCTGCAACAAACCACAAAGCTAATTGCTGCACATTATCAAGCAAAGTTGAACACTAGAGGAGAAATGAAGATATTCCATATTGAAAAGTGTAGCCTTTCCAAAACAAGGGAGAACTCCCGGTTACGGTTAATGTGACATTCATATCACAACCTAGAATGCAGGATTTCAACATAACGTGCCAGTCCAGGGGGAAATAATTTCACTCTGTGATAAACTGCAGCACGCGGATCCGAGAGATACTTTCATCCTTGCACTGCTTTTGTTAAAATGCTGAGAGTTCATAACAAAGATAAGGCCAAGGCTTGTGCTTTGTTGTAGAAACTCGAGGATACAGGTAGATTCTTGTGCACGATACAGAGACTCAAAGAAGATAAAGAGTTTGATGTTCGGTAGTGTTATCGTGAGAACGCAATGCCATTGTGCACTCATGTTTTTGTTTGCTGTCTTTCAGGAATTTTCTTACGGCTTAATCTGTTTTAACAAAAAAAAGCACAGAGAAAGGCGAGACAGGCTGCAACAATAGATCTGCTTACATAAGTCCCTTCTTGGACACAGTAAAAGACAGTTATGAAAGTTGTTCCTGCACAAATAAAAGCTGTAAGATGAATTAAAGCACGGCCATCTCCTTCTGCAGGATCTCCTGCAAGTTCATAAACTGCAGAAACAGGTGTCACCATGAGCCATTACAGCTCCAAGACCGTTATATTTTGCATATGTTGAGAGGGAAAGTCCTGCTATGAGATCACAGTTTGACCCCAACCATTGATAACTCTTCTAGCCTTTAAATCATTCATATTTGTGAGACGTGGAGCCATGGTGCTTTTCACTCGACCTATGAAAATGTTAATATGTAACATTCAGTTTGCTATGAGCACCGTGTGTGCAGCGTTCTCTCTAGTATCCGTTTACAGGCCCTTTTGTTTGTACCATTCAAAAGGATTTCACACTTAGTAATGCATCAAGAAACCCTGCAAGCCTCAACCAAAGTTATGCACTATTTTAAGTATTCAAATATACATGTGTTTTAGGAAGGATATGCGCTTGTTAGACCCCCATAACACACAAGTGTGTTCAAAAATATATAAATAATGTAAAATATGTTGGAATCGGGCCGTAGGCTTTTGGAATCTAGCATATTGGAAATGCATTTTTATTAAGGGATGCTTCATATCGTGGACTCTGGACATCGTAGTTGTTTATTTACTGCTATTAGACCACTTGGATGTGACACGCCGGCTACACATATTCCAGTAACTACAGCAACAATGGAACAGAGAAGATCTTTGTCCTGACGCACGCTGGAGACAAAGTCGTTCTTTCTGCAATTTCCCAGGTATGTTCACCATCGTGGTTGTTTGGTTTCATGCCCCCTCCCCCCCCCGAAAAATGTTCAACAGCGACTTGAATGCCATCGCAATTGTGGAGCCTAAAAGAGCTGCTCACGAAGATGCAAATGGATGTCTGTGCCCGTCTCCTCCAAGGAGCACAGAGTAGATAGATGGAGGTCTCCGTCACCCCGCGGCCACAAAGGGAGCATTGTCTCAGCGATCAGGTCCCTCCGTCAGGGACACTTAAGCAGTCACATTCCTTGAGAGAAACCCCAAAAATGGCATTTAAAGTGTCTGGCCACCTCCTCACAGGCTTTGATATTCAAATGAAACATGGCCCTGTACAAACAGGCGCCTCAGCCGAGGAAGAGGGGGGGGGGGAGTAAATCAGATAGGAGTTCCCTCAGATGAAAAGAGCTGGTCTGACATTTTCGCAGCGAGCGCCGGGGGAAGCTGAAGCAATGTTGGTTCGGTGTCGTGGGGGGAAGTTATTGCTGTGTGGAAAATGTTAGAGTTTTCAGCCCCACTTCCTTGGCCAACATGCTGAAGCGCAGCGTGGACCGAGCAGTGGGCACGGTACCATCACACACACACGGCGCATTCCCCTTTTACTGCCGCACCGCTCCGTTTGTTTGCGCTTTAATGTCTTGGTGAAGACTCAAGGACCCCATGGCGATAGTCTCTGCCGAAGGGTATGAACACAAGAGAAGTCCAAGAGGGTCGTGTGAGGAGCTCCGTGGGATCTGAGAACTCAGAGCCTGAAATCCCGAAGGACTCGGCTCTAATATGCCTCCCTCTGCTGAGTGTTTCCTCAGGTGAGGAGTTCTCTCACAGAGAGCCAAAAGTCTCCCGACAGAACGCCTCATTCCCAGGAAGATGGAATGTGTGGATTTGCTGCCATCCAAATTGATGGGCACAGTCCGGTATGCAATTAAGGCATAGCTGTCACTAAGAGGCTTTCCTGGGTGATTAACTTGTAAAAGCTGTTGCATCCAAGGAAGTCAACTGAACACAATTAGCCTTTTTTTTTTTTTTTCCCTTCAAGGGAGTGAGTTTAGTTCGAGGGCCCCACCGCGGGTAAGACGAGGCTCGACGTAGCAGTCGACTGGAAACAAGGAGCCAAGGTTTCGGCCGGCGGAGCACAAAGTCGAGGTAAAGTATTCTTGCAAGTGACGCAAATCTTCATTCCAAGCATCCCCCCCCCACCCGGCCCGCGGCCTCTTCCATTCCTCAGCTCCTCTCACTCACCACCCTTCCGGCACTTATTTGGGTGTACGTGCTAAATGGCTCGGGGCTTCTTCAACCAAACCACTGCTCTTTGAAGAGCCCCCCCCACCCCCTCTTCTTGAAGGATGCCAGCCTCTGTCCTCTGTCCGACACACACGATCGCACACAAACACATGCTCCCCTCCATCTCATATGCACGCTTTATATATGACAAGCTCTGCTCGGAATCCACACAACATTCATGCAGTCTGCACCGCCTGCGATACAAAGCGCACAATAGCCCCTCGGCCCCTGAGTGTCTCTCCCCAAGTGTTTGAAAACATTTTGTACCCTTTCTTCTCTTCCTTTGGTGGAGTTGTGTTCGTCACCCCCAGCGGATAGCAACAAGGAAGTCAATTAAAGCAGGAGGATCAATGCCTTTGCACTACAAACACAACCTGGAATCATTTTATCTCCATGTGTTTTTGATGAAGGCCTCGTGTTTCACCTGCAGGAGATGGAAGAAAAAAGCTCTGGAGGAAGTTCTAAAGGTGCTACACGGCCCCCTCACGCTGTGTGGACTTTTGCAGCACTGCCCAGATTAGTTTCCCACCGCGGTCGCCTTTGCTCTTAACTTCCTCCTTGTGCACGTTGCCATGGCGCCTGCAGCGGTATTCTCACTTAGACCAGATTTCCAGTCGGCTGCAGTCCCTTTCACCGAGAGACCGTCTCCAAGTAAGTACGTGACTAATGAGGGGACCATTTATATTTATGGACCTTCCACTTTATTTGAGCTGCAACGAACGGCTGTTGGTGCTTACAATGTGTACCCACCTACCTTTTAGTAGCTATCGTAAATTCACTCCTTCTGCAGTGGGTTTGTTGGCCACTTGGGGGCAGCGCAACAAGCTAAAAACACAATATTGACATAATAACCGTAGTAAGTCAACACGGCCGCATTAAGGTCCCGGCAAGTGCAAACATTGAGCTGACCCTGAGCAACATCAGCTCTCATCCGTCGCTTCATTATGTTCACCAACTAGATGCTAACAGTTACGTTGGTGGACGGGGACGGTAAAGCTTTTCTGCAGGAAGGCGCTGCCTGCTGGGACTTGATTTTGCATTGACCGGTGCTGTGAGAATGAATCAATTCTCAAAAACGCCGTAGAGATGAAGGGAACTGCAGAAAGGTGTCACCTGTTATTTTTTCCATGAGTTCAGTGGGAAAATCCCGCTGTGAGATGACAGTTTGACCCGAACCAATGATGACTTTCCTTTAAACCGTTTCCTCTTTGAGAGGCGTGGACTCATGGTGCTTTTCACTAAACAGTTCAATTATTTTTCTTGACATCTCCGTCTCGCCTCTCCTACTTTATTTCCCCACCGTGCATTTCATCAAAGCAAAGCTTATCTCAGTGTGGCCTTAATACCTCCCTCTGTATATAGGTCAGAAACTTCCATTGATAAATCTGTCTGTTACTTTAATGTCTCCTTGCTAATCTACATCCCAAAACAAACCTATTTCAGCTGACTGGGTTTTATATTTAATCAATATATTAGCTGTGGAAGGAGTAGTGTGCTGGTGGACAGTAACATCTGGGCTGTGACGAGTTGGAACCTTCACCACGTGATGATGTCGATGTGGCTGCTCCTCTATGTGAACCACACCTGGTCCCTAAAGAAACCTGGTGCCACACACGGTCACCTTTCTTCACCCTCATTAGTCCGTCAGTGAGACCGGGTGACGGGACGCCAGGTTGTTGACAGGACGGGTGGGGGACAGGCGGAGCCCAGTAGGGGGCGGTGGTGGTTGTCAGGCCTTGGGGGGGGTCACGCGATAAAGACACGCGGAGCTGCATGTTGGCGGGCTCTAAACACACGTTTTCATATCGTGGGTAGAATTGGGCAGATGAGGCGCTGGTTGTGTTCATAAACCTTTAAATGAACCAAAGGGACATTGTTGATGCAGCACTAAATGTCTCCGATGCGCAAGTGGAGTGAATGCGGAGACTTAATGACTTTCCCGTCGGAGCAATTTGTTTCCCGATGTACAAAACCACCAGCGAGACATGTTTGAGGCTCCCCGATGGGGGACGTGATCTTTGTCCCTTGTTCCCTTCCTTTCCCAGTTGGGGGTCATTCATGGAAACAACTTGAGACCGTCTTTTATCTTATTTTTACTACCCTCTTTTTTGTTGTATTTTAACACCACGTCCAATACATCTTGTTCCC